TGCTAGAGAGAAAACCACTGGCCCCTAAAAATGATGCTCCTATAGATCTTCCATCAAAATGTACTCCAAAGCACAAGTTCCAGGAGGCACAGAGCAGGAAGCAATGCTATTTTGGAATGGTTGGTCGTGTACTAGAAATGGTCCCAAACCTGTTAAATGTTTTGAATGGGATTTTATGCTTCTTAAACCATAGCCCTGAGAACCGTCCAGTGACGTCACATTGACTGGAAACATATCGTTGAAGGGCCATGATAATGAAATACTGCTGTTTGATCAAGGGTTGCCCCCACTTTCTGAATCCTTCCACTAGCTTCCTGCCTCTTATTGCATCAAATTCAAGTTTCTCTGTCTCCCCTACAAACTCTATAATGTAGAAATAAACCTAGCTGCACAATGCAAAAATGTCAATGCCGTCTCCCCTCCTCCCTTGCACAGCTGGACACATACAAATATAGAACATCACTTTTGACCAGTTTCCATGTCAAAAATAGAAGTGTCTATGTATGCTTTGGGGGCACTTCATTTTGTCTGGGGATTTCCCCTCCTCTCCATTGTAGTGTATTATGGGGAAAAAAGAGTTTTTGCAATTCTTGCCATCAATTTTTGGATGAATCAACTGGAAAGAAGCAAAATTATGATCAACCTTCCCCTCCACTTGTAATAGGCTTTGCATTGGTTACTGCTCATGCTGAGCTGTAGTGCAGCACTGAAGGGATTTCAAAACCAAACCACCACCTGAATAGCCATTAAAACAATTACAGGGGCCCGAACAGGGAACTAGGCAATTCAAGGGAGGAGACCAAGGCTAGTAGAGCTGAGTAGATACACAGGGCTGGAGTGTTGCAGGTGTCAGGACCCTGGTATTGAATCCAAGTCCATTGGGTCCCTAAAAGGTATCCCCAGTGTCCGCGCCATGGCAGCATGCTGAACCGCTACCCCTGACTGACAGCCTTGGTGCTAAAGACCTACAGCCCCACAACAGCTAGGCCCCTGATTGGCTGGACAGACAGCATTCTCACTAGGCACCTGGACTATATAAAGACCCCAACAGGAAGAGGAAGCTGTCTGAGCAGCAGGCCATTACTGCCTGGACCACCTTGCTGCCCTGCTGTTTTGCCTGACCTTGCCTTGCTGCTGTACTGTCTAA